TAGATAGATAGATAGATAGATAGATAGATAGATAGATAGATAGATAGATAGATAGATAGATAGATAGAGATAGATAGAGAAAGAATCCAAAATATAAAAATGTAAATTGAGATAGGTTGCCGAATACGATGATCTGGAACCTAAATTAAAATTTAGCGTTAAAATGTAAAAATGGCGCCCGTCTCTACCGCACGCGCATCGTAGGCACATAGTTCATATTTCTGCCACCAGGGACGGTGTTCCTGTGGATCTTCTGGCCAAGCTTTAACGCAGGAGCGCTAGCAGGAGACGATAGACATCGAGCCGTCATCAACACCTACTATTCCATCGCAGCCTGCTGCGTGTTCACGTTCGCCATCTCCTCTCTCGTCGACAAGAAGAACAAGTTGGACATGGTATGTATACTCATGTAGTGATGACGTCACCTCACACATGCGCAATCACTCACTCATCACAAGTCTCGCGTAGGCAGCATTTATACACTGCCAGGCCATAATAAAAATATTGTTTGTTTGCCCTCACCCGACCGACCTGCCAAAAAGAGGCTGACTTAAAAAAATGTATTGATCTTTCCAATTTTTTTTTTTTTTACAAATTGTATCACTGTACATTATATAAATCTGAGGCAATGTACCGAGCAAAACAAACATTCAACGTAAAAGGTATCTCCACCGAAGCACACCCGAGCATGTAGACACCATGCTGAATTTGTAAAAAGACCCCCCTCAAATAAGCCTACCTACCTACCCAAACTTTTCAGCCTGGGTCGGGTGAGGGCAAATAACGATTTTTTTAATTGTGACCCAGTGCCCCAGAGGTACCACTTCGTTCACGTGACCATTACCAGCAGAACTGCCACTCCTTCCACCATCGCCACCACCACCAATCCACCACTACCTTACAAGTCTATACGGACTCCTTACCTGACGCATGTTCTGCCCTATAACTACAGGTTCACATCCAGAATTCGACTCTCGCTGGCGGCGTGGCAGTCGGTGCATGTGGTAACATGATGATACAACCTTGGGGCGCCATCTTGATCGGAATGGTAGCTGGCTCTCTCTCCGTCGTCGGCTACAAATTTCTAACGGTAAACAACACCCGTGTATTCTACACGTAATAGCGTTTGTATTAACGCTAGGTAATTCAGTAATTCGGTATTAAAAATGGCTTCTATATGTAATACCCCCCGTGTATTTTCTATGGAGCGTCTGTACAGCGCAAGTAGCGTAAGTAAGAGCGTAGGTAAGAGCGTAACTAAGTCTATGACTTCCGTATGTCACGGCATAGTTTTTTCGTCTGATTTGTATGCCCTCAATCGGTACGCGACGAGAAAAAAAAGAATTTCCCTTACACGGAAAAAATCGAGATACGTACGGTTCCCGATGCTGCCTTCCATTTTCACTCGATTCGATATTAGTCGATATTAGCGCAATAATGACGATGGCCGACTCTTGTTTACATCGTTGCAGCCTATGATGAACAGCAAGCTAAAGATTCACGACACCTGCGGAGTGCATAATCTTCACGGGATGCCCGCCATCTTGGCGGCATTTGCTAGTGCCGTAGCCAGCGCCATCGCGTCGAAGGAAGTGTACGGAGACGGGTAAGGGCACACATCTTGAACGGTGTTATAGTTCATGATTGATTCGTGAATGTTTTCTTTACGATAGAAAGAGATGCAATTGTTGCAAATTGTTTATTTATTTATATACTTATTTATTTATTTATTTAGATATGTTTATTGGATGCATAAAGTGATGAAAATCTTGCAATCTACATGTTTTTATTTACTTATTTATTTATCAGATTTGCTTTATAATATTATTTTGCTATGCAGTTTATACGACACGTTCCCCGCCCTCGCCCCGGTGACTAACGTGACTGGAGGACATGGCGAACATGGAGGCATGGGATGGACAAGTGGTATCCAAGCCGGCCACCAGATGGCAGCCATGGGCGTGACGCTCTGTATCGCAATAATCGGTGGAACCACCACAGGTAAGGAATCATCACAGGTAAGATTATATTAGCTCTTGATAAAAAAAATATATAAATATATATATATATATATATATATAT